AGGGGGGTTGGACTAGATGACCCACAGAGGTCCCTTCCAACCCCTACCATTCTGTGATTCTGTAATTTTTAGAGGGTGTTAAAGTTAACTTGAAGGTGATTTTAGAGTCCGGCCAACAGCTTACTTGAAAAGGAATTTGTGTGTTTACCCTTCCAGGAGAGGAAGTGTCTATAAAATAAGCTACTGGGGTATTCCACTTATGAATACACTCAGATTTACCATTAAAGCAGATGCACAATATTAACATGCTTCTCTTGCTTCCTTTACAGCAAGGATTTGGTAATATAGATGGAGAATATTGGCTTGGATTAGAAAATATTTATTGGTTAACAAATCAAGGCAACTACAAACTGCTCATAACAATGGAAGACTGGTCAGGTCGAAAAGTATTTGCTGAGTATGCTAGCTTCAGACTGGAGCCAGAAAGCGAGTATTACAAGTTGAGATTGGGACGCTACAACGGCAACGCGGGAGATTCTTTCACTTGGCACAACGGTAAACAGTTCACCACGCTGGACCGGGACCACGACGTATACACAGGTACAAGGTTCATTTCAGTTGCCTTTCTTTTTTTGCCCTCCCTCCCCCTCTCTCTTTTTTTTTTACTTCTTTTTTTAAAGAGGAAAAATACTTCTGGTGATACACACAGAGACACAAAAATTACATTTCTAGAGTTTTGTCAATTAGTAACTTAAGAAGCACAAACTGATGTGTCAACCCTCATACATACTAACATTCAAACAAAAAATTCTCATTGAAATATTTATCATTTACACTAAACAAGAATCTGTAAAGTATGCTGGGGGGGATTACCTGAGACAGTAATGCAGACAAATTTTGCATCAAGGGAGAGAAACACTGATGAGTCATCTGTAGAACCGAACTACAGAGCTGGCTACTGAAGAAGCCTAAATTCACCTTGTACCACATAGTATCTACATGTTTAACATACAGTTAAAAAGAAAAAAGAAAAAAACTGCTTTGTGCTTAGCTTGCTTGCTTGCTAGCTGTAAGATTTATCATTTGTTCCTAAGACTCAATTGGAGTTTTCTTTCGCAGGTAATTGTGCTCATTACCAGAAGGGAGGATGGTGGTACAATGCATGTGCCCATTCAAATCTCAACGGAGTTTGGTATCGTGGAGGACACTACCGCAGTCGATACCAGGATGGTGTTTACTGGGCTGAATTCCGGGGGGGATCATATTCACTAAAGAAAGTTGTTATGATGATAAGACCTAACCCCAACACATTCCACTGAAATGATCGTTCTCTTGGTTTGCTTTCTTGTTCTAAAAATCATGTATAAAGCTATTATTATCTGAATTATCTTTTCAGAAATGAGGACTGTAAGATATTGTACATTTATTGCTGAGAAAAATGAGGCTTGTACATTGTATTGTCAAGAATCATTCCAGGAAAAAAAAACTGAAGAAAAAAAGGAACTGAAATGACATAACATTCAGAACACCTCTTGGTACTAAACGTAGTTATATTAACCCTTTTAGAACTGGCAGTTTAGATGGACTGTAGATACACTTTCTGTTTTTTATTCCCTGTAAATTAAGTCTGGATGGCAAAAATACTGCCACAACATTTAAATATTTTTGTATGTTATGTATAAATATTCTCAAATACAGGAAATATTACAAACTGTACAGCAAGAGTTTTATTATTATAATTATGGCAATCATTTGACACAGGAAATAATATCCTTTGAACTGTGTAGCTAGTATATGTACATTAGCGTGATTATTCTAATTTAATCTTTGTTAACTGTCATGAATAAAGTTAGTACCATATAATTTTATTTTGAGAGCAGACACTTAAACTATCACTGTCATGACAAATCTAGTCCTTCCCCTTTGCTTTGAGCATTTTAAGAATCTGCTCCTATAAATGAGATTTACGTTTGATCCAAATATTTTCAGTTTAAAAAACCTAATGATTTTTCTTACCAAAATGAAGTAGCTACCTACATATGGAAAGTAATCCAGATTTATAACAGATATAGTATGCTGTATAGCCAACATGTTATACTACACAACAACTGTAACAGTATTTTTTTATCTGACTTGAGTCATTACCTGCTGTGTAGCCTCTATAATCAGAAGTGGCTGGATATAAACTAAAGGGACTGTCCAACTTTGCAGGCAAATGATGGATACCAATACATAAGCTATTTAATATCCTTACCCAGTAGATGAAAATTATATAAAGAAGTTACCTGTAGCCAAGAGAAGTTATATTTACCATATTTCACAATTATAACATATTACTGTCAAATTATTAAACAGATTTACTCTTCTATATTTAGAGGTCAGTCACAACTATGAAATACTGACTGGGATAAATCTAATGGTCTTCTGAGGTAGGTTTCTAGAACAGATTGTTATAACACCCATTTCAAAACAGCAACTACTACAAAAAATGTAAGTTAAATAATGCATATAACAGGGAGAGCAAAAGCCTCTGGAAGTTCAATATATTTTTCAGTAAGCCTGTAGTATACTTACTGTGCATTTGTGTGCACGTGCTTGCACACTTTTTCCCGTATTACCTCATCACTTCTTTACAACAGTATGATGTGCATTAAACTGATGTGTCATGTAGCATGTGTTGTATATAACTGAAAGTAGGGTTTTTAATATATTAGATTACCCTTGTAATATTGTAATCCTTTAATAAAGCAACAAATGTTATTTTGACATGTTCAGATTTCATCCTGTTTTGGTTCAGATTAGTCATAGCAAAGAACAGATAATTACTTAATTTCACACTATTCTACCTGATAACTCAAATCAACTCTGATATGCAAACTTGATCTCCCACTGGTTTATCTACTGGAGTCTGGAAAACAATGAAGTTTCAGGTAAGAAATATTAAATACATCTGCTGGCTCTACTGCCTAGCCACAGTGC